GACCGTTTCGCGTTGGCCCTAAACTGTTATTTTAGGGCCAGCGCACAGGTCCGTTTTAGTTGTTTGGTCAGCCCGGTTATAGCGAACTTACGCTAGTAATATATAAGTCAATGCACAAGTGCCGTTGTGATTGCGCTGCAACCCTAGTCGTGGTGTCGACGCAATGTTATATTTGTGATGTGGCAGGCCGGTAGTTCCGTGATGTTCCGTAATGGTTGCGTCGTGGTTGCGTTGTGGTCAGTATCACCCACGCAGTCGATAATGACAGCAAAATGTTGTACATGTAAATTGTACTATTCGTTTCCAATGCGTAATGCATCCGCCCACGTGTGGTGGTGGTGGTATGTGTGGGTAGACCCCTATGATAAGTCGTGCAGACAGTGGCCACCGGTCTATACAGGTCCGATAATTTTTGATGCTGCAACAAAAAGTACATAATTAATTGAATTGTGTATAATTTGACCTGTTATGTATTTATTATTAGTTTATTTAGCAGTAAGTAGACGACGCTCTCATTGCATTAAAGCTGTGTGAGTGTGAGTGACTCTATCGCACGACAAAGCCACTAAGATTTATATAATTCATAAATTTGGCATAAAGTGACGTAGAATGTATTAAAAATTCTGCTTTTATCAAATATACGCAATCAGCACCGCTAGCGGCGTGTAGTGAAATTATTTTACGATATAACAGTAACATCTAGAAATAGCAATGTCGTGTTTAGTTGTTAGTATCGCCAATATGCGGGGCGATCTGTTCATGATTTTGCCTTGGCATATAGTCAACAACTGTTTACCTGTACAACTGGTTACTTCGCCTACGCGGATTCCACCTTCCCTGTTGGGCCTTCTGCTGACCTCTCACCCGGATGGATATCAGATTTCCGTCGACGCCCCTTTAGGCTCCTCGGACCATTGTCTTGTCCGGAGTGTGGTGCCACTTACGCTGAAATCGCAGTTGCATTCTGCAGGCTGCCGCCGTGTTTGGCACTATAGGTCAGCCGATTGGGATAGGATGCGGTCTTTCTTTGCATCCTACTCTTGGGGGCGGGGTTGCTTTTCGCCGGATGATCTCAACGTTGTTGCGGATTCTGATGTAGTACTTCAAGGTATGGAACTTTTTATTCCTTCCTCTGTGGTGCCCATCGGAGGCAAATCTCAGCCATGGTTTGGTCGCTCCTGTAAAATAGCATCATGCTATAAGCAGGACTGGTACTAAGCCTGGGCTGACGCATCAACGTCCCGGGATGTAAATACCAGCGCTCTAAAAAAGAACTATAATTCCGCGTCCAGGTCCTTCAAAAGATTCATTGCCTAGGCAAAGTCAGAGCACATAGGCAGAATTGGCGAGAAACTAGTTCGCCTTCCTTCTGGAACTCGTGCCAACATATTCGCAATAGAACCTAAGTAACCGATGTACATTCAATGGATCAGTAAACTATATTGACAGTGTGTCACCCGTACAACTCAAAGGCCGACAGCTGACGCGGAAGGTAGTACTCGAGTAGCAGACGAGATAGTGTGATGACCTGGTAATCCATGCGGAATGTCTATAAAAGCAGGTGGCTCCGGATCGTGTTTTGTGTCAGATCTTTGTTCAAGATGTTGAAGATGTTAAACAAAATAGAACAATTACAAGTGGTAAACATAATGATTTCTTAAATTTTACGCGAACACTACACATTGAATAAAACTATTATTTACGGATTTTATCGCGTTTAATTACTTTAATTTGTTTTTACTATCCCGACGTTTCGGGTGCTTTACAGCACCCATGGTCACGGGGGGGACTGAGATGTTTGACGTCCCAATGTCATAGTTAGTCCGGTTCCTTCAGTTTTTGAATATTAATTTTTGGTCCGATTTACGCAAAACGAGCTTATAGTATCATGAAGTCTTGCAGTGGTATGCTTGGGTTTTGGTTTAATTTTGTTAATTATAGGATCCCAAGCTGCTGGCAGCACCCATCCATCTTCTCTATTGAAATTTGGATGTTTTTTAATTTCAATAGCCTCGCGTATCATCCTTGGTAGGAATCGGTGTTCTTTTGCGAGGATTTGTGGTTTATCAAATCTAATGTAATGGTGGGGACGATCTTGAACATGTTCGCAAACTGCAGACTTCCTGGAGCGTCGGTGCTTCACGTCAGCTATATGTTCCTTCACGCTGGTTTTTATAGATCGTTTTGTTTAACCTATGTAAGAGAGACTACATTCACAATCTAGCTTGTACACACCTGCATCCTGTAGAGGAATATTACATTTGATGGATGGTAAAAATTGACTAATCTTCTTCGGCGGCTTGTAGTATGTTTTAATGGAAGCTCGCTTCAAGATGTAGCCAATCTTGTCTGTGACTCCTCTGATATATGGTAGTACAGCACGCGCACGCTCGACTGTGGCTGGGTTCACTCGTTCACTGTGACGTAGGCGCGGGACCCGAAGCTTGTTGTCTTGCAATACTTGCTTGACGTGTTGAAGCTCGGCGATAAGATGTTTTCTGTCACAGATCCCTCGTGCTCTCTGAAACAAAGATTTACCCACGGTAGCTAACTGTGAAGGATGATGGTGAGATTCACCATTTACATATCGGTTGGTATGGGTCTTTTTCCTATACACATTGTGACCAATAGTGTTATCAGGATTTCGGGTGACTAAAACATCTAGGAAGGCTAAAGAATTATTTGCCTCTAACTCCATTGTGAATTGTATTGTAGAGTTTATGGAGGTGGTCTAAAAATGCAGTTACTTTGTCAGATGGTAAAATTGTGAAAGTGTCGTCTATGTACCGCTTGTAGAACCTTGGATTTACAGAAGCAGTAATAAGGGCTTTCTCCTCAAAGTCCTCCATGAATATGTCGGCGACTATGGGAGACACAGGTGAGTCCATCGCCACACCATCTACTTGCTTGTAGAACTCCTCCTTCCACAATAGATAGCCAGATGTGAGGCAGTGTTCAAGTAATATTGCATATTCTTGAGGCATGTTATTTTCTTCCAGTTTCCTAGTTACAATTGAGATGCAGTCAACAATAGGTAGGCATGTAAATAGTGACTGAACATCAAAACTGACCATAGTTTCATTGTCAGCGAGATATAGGTCTTTTATCTCACTCACAAAATGGTATGAATCCTTTGTGTGTGCTCTGGTATGTCCTCTCAGTGGTGATAGTATTTTTGCTAAGTTTTCTGCCAGCTCATAAGTTGGTGAATCGATCTGGCTCACTATGGGACGTAGTGGAGCGTTTGGTTTGTGTATCTTCGGTAACCCATACAACCTCGGTGGTTTGGTGCATGATGGTATTAGCGAAAGTGATAAAATTAAAAATTTTTGTACAACCGGCTTTAATATAAATAAAATGAGAAGATAATCAATGCACTCAACGTCAATTAAATACGCATTATTGAGGATAACTCAAAAACCACTGGTCAGATCTTGATCAAATTTATATGAGACGACATTCTCACTCACACACAGACTCACAGTATCTCGCCAAGGCTGTGCAGGGGAATTTCTGTCAGCCATCTCTTCCATCTCTGCACAGGGAGGACGACTCACTGACCCATACCGCAAAGGAGAAAGCCGATCTGCTAGGCTCTTTCTTTGCATCCAACTCGACTCTCGATGACGGGGGAGTACGCCGCTGACCATCCCGCGGTGTGAGTGATCCATGCCGGGAGTGCAGTTCACACAGCACTCGGTTCGCAAAGTACTCCTCTCCCTGGACATCTACAAGTCGAGTGGGCCTGACGGTATCCCCCCCAGGACGTGTGCTCCAGAGTTGGCACCGGTTTTAAAGCATCTTTTCCGGTACTCCTACTCCCTAGGCGTAGTCCCAAAATTATGGAAGACGGCTTTCGTCCACCCGATCCCTAAAAAAGACGACTCCTCAGACCCGTCCAACTACCGGCCTAACGCCATCACCTCCTTGTTCTCCAAAACAATGGAGTCCATTGTAAACTGCCAGCTCATGAGGTACCTTGAGGATCACCAGCTGATTAGTGATTGCCAATACGGTTTTTGCCGTGGTCGATCAGCTGGTGATCTTCTGGTCTAACTGATTCATAGATGGGTGGATGCAGTAGAGTCCAAGGAGAGGCATTGGCCGTTAGTTTGGACATTGCGAAGGCCTTCGATCGGGTTTGGCACAAAGCGCTTCTTTCGAAGCTACAAGGTCGTTGTAGACGGTACAAGCTCCGATTACAAGCCTATTAATGCTGGTGTTCCACAAGGCTACATGCTATCGCCAACGCTATTTTACGCCATTATAAAATGGCGTGTGTTGATATAGACGTGTTATTGTAATTCGGAGCGATTTTAATCTAATTAATGTGCAAAAACTGTTTAGATCATTCTTTGATTTATACCACCGTGTTTAGTGTATTAAAGTTGGTGAATCTGTGCAAAAGTTATAGCTAATTATTGTGTAAACAAGTGAATAAAACCAAAAATTGTTTTAAAATATTCTGTTGGTAAAACTATTCACTGCATGGAGAACAAAAGATTGACCTTTGGACTCACTGGACGCGATAAGCTTGTAGCAAGGAGTGCTTGACCATAGTTAGAACCATTCTTAAAATTCAGGCGCATCGTCGTTGACGGCGTGGTGTAGCGGTGCAAGCGTATTACTCATAGAGTGAAGGTCGGAAGATCGATCCCGACCGAACAAACTTTTTCCCCTTTTTTTATTTATATTTTTTTTCTATAATATCAGACTTTTTAAAATATTATTCCGTTTGCTGATATATTTTTTCTAAAAAATGTCTTCTACCACAAAGAAGTGCTCTGGCTGTAAAAACAATTTGCCAAAAAAGGGAACATATGGTATGTGTAATCTCGGGTATGATTTATTATGTGCTAATATAACACCTAAATGCTTCTACCTTATGGATCAAGAGCGGAAAAATAATTGGAGATGTCAGTAATGCTCTAGTAAACAACCCAAATCCGATAATACAAATACACCTGTGCGCACAACATATCGTCCCATGGTATCTGGCGATGATACCAATGTTGAAGAGGAGAGTAATATCACTGTACGGACAAAAAAAACAGCGCTCTAAATCCGATAGCAACGATTCCTACATTAAAGAAGATTCGTTACGTTCAATAATAAAGCAGGAGATAACTGACACCATCAAGCAATTGGTTTCTGAACACCTGGCAAATATCGCGTCTCAGGTGACTGGCTTCCACGAATCTCTAGCATTCTTTAGTAAACAATATGACGAACTTATGCAAACTGTGAAGGAAAGAAACGAAGTAATACAGAGTTTAATTCAGAGAAATGACAATCTATCGTCGCAGGTAAGGAGTTTGACAGAGAGGATAGAGCAATTAGAGCAAAACATGCGTGCTCCTAACGTCGAAATCAATGGGATCCCAGAGCATAAATCGGAAAATCTTCTAAAAACTATAGAGCAGCTGGGATTTGCGATTGAAAACCCCCCTCGGTGACAATGATGTTTTGCACGTATCCCGTATTGCGAAGCTCAACAAGGAGAGCTACCGACCCCGCTCCGTAATTGTCAAAATACGTAGTCAACGCCGTCGTGATGAGTTGTTAGCAGCAGTAACAAAGTTTAATAAAAAGAATCCTGATAACAAATTAAACTCTGAGCATTTGGGAATTGGCGAACGTCGAGTGCCTGTATATGTTAGCGAACATTTAACACCGAAAAATAAGCACCTACATGCGGCGGCTCGAAAAAAAGCAAAAGAGACCGGCGCCAAATTTGTTTGGGTGCGGGACGGTAGGATCTTTGTTCGGAAACATGAACAGAGTCATGCCATCTATATTAAACATGAAGAAAGCTTGAAACTAATTGGCTAGTGTTAGAATCTCAATGTTACGATAGATTATCCTTCAAAATGTCTATAACAATTTACTATCAAAACGTACGTGGTTTGAGGACTAAAATGGAGGATGTTCTTAAAAATATACTTATGAATAATTAAAGCTTAATTGTGTTTACTGAAACATGGTTGAATAGTAATATAATGAACAGTGAATTTATAGATAAACGTTACGTTGTATATAGAAAGGATAGATCATGCTCAAGGAGTTCAAAGACGGAGGTGGTGTGATGGTTGCAGCGTCTAAAAATATTCCTTATTCTCGACAATCAAATTGGGAAAGTAATGCAGAAGATTTATGGGTATCTATTGATGTTAAAACTAACCACACACTCCAAAAACTTTCTATCTGTGCCGTTTACTTACCTCCTCCTGTTTCTTCTGAAACTTTATCTAGCTTTTTAGAAAACTCTACTGATATCATAGATATATCAGATAAAGTCACAATATTGGGCGACTTTAACTTAGGTTTTATTGATTGGTCCCGTAAGTCGGATAGTGACCCATGTATTGCAACAAATTATGGTTCGAAAATAGGACTCTCTCTTATTGACTTTATGGCTGTCAATAATTTATCGCAAATGTGTCTAATGTTGATGGTAGAATACTAGATCTAGTTCTATCCAATGTTGATTGTTTAAATGTTACTAAATCTATAAGTATGCTTAGCAAAGTAGATCAAAAACATCCTCCAATTTTGATATCGATCCCAAAACTTACTTCCGAGTACCTCAAGCCGATAATAAGCCATCGTTACAACTACTTTAGAGCAGACTATGGCAATATTGTACCTTACTTGAAGAGCATTAACTGGCAAGTGGAGCTAGAAAAATGTCAAAATGTTAACGAAATAACTAATATATTTTACCACTTTTTAAATATAGCCGTAACATCCTATATTCCTAAAACAAGACCTAAACTAACTAAATTTATTTCGTGGTTTAGCAATTCCCTAATTAAAATAATTTCCGAGAAAAGCAAAAAAAGATTAAAATATTTGAAATATAAGAACCCTCGTGATCAACTAGAATACGAGCTTCTTCGCGAACGTGCTCATAATGTAAGTAGTCAATGCCTTTTTAATTTTAAAAAAAGAATTGAAAGCGATATTTCTAAAAATCCAAAAAGCTTTTGGCGTTTTGTGAAGGACAGGCGCAATGGTGTATCCAATATCCCAGCTATAATGTATCATGCTGATCAGGTCGCAAACACCGAACCAGATATAACCCAAATGTTTGCAAACAAATTTTCATCTGTTTTTAGTAAAGTGGCTGCAAACGACGGCGGTGACGTATCTATGTTCAATAATTCATGTTTAAATTCTGTAAAATTAACTGAAAGAGACATTATAGGTGCAGTCAAAAAGCTTGACATTTTCAAGGGAGCTGGCCCAGATGAGATTCCCCCTGTTTTCGTCAAACGTTGTACCTCGGCCTTAGCGTTACCACTGGCTATTATTTTCAATCAATCTTTGCGTGATGGAGTATTTCCTGATATTTGGAAAAATTCAAAGATCGTCCCGGTATTTAAAAAAGGCGTTATTAATGACGTTAGTGACTACAGACCGATTTCAATTATTTCATGTATTCCTAAATTGTTTGAATCCTTGATATGTCCAATTGTTACGCGTCACTTAAGCACATGTATATCAGACCATCAACATGGGTTTAGGAAGGGCCATTCGATTGAAATTAACCTTGTATCATTTATGTCGTATCTCTGTAAAGAAATTGACAAAGGACAGGAAGTTGATGCTATATACATATATATATGGATTTTTCTAGTGCATTCAATAAAGTCTGTCACTCCCGCTTAATTAACAAGCTAAAAAAAATATGGGGTATGTGGATCTTTGCTAGAATGGTTCCAGTCTTATTTAGCAAAAAGACTCCAGTTTGTGGTAGTGAATGGTTACAAATCAGAAAGTTATATAGCGTTCTCAGGCGTCCCGCAGGAATCGCATCTGGGTCCAGTCCTTTTTGCTGCCTTTATTAATGATATAACTTTTGAAATACGCAACTCTGAATTATGTCTTTTTGCTGACGATTTAAAAATTTACAAAACAGTAAAATCTACTGTAGACGTGCAACTCATCCAAAGTGATTTAAACAGAATTAGTACATGGTGTCAATTAAATGGTATTATACTTAATGCTAAAAAAATCATATCATATTAAATTCTCAAGAAAGTTTATACCTTTCATGTCCTCCTATAAGATGAACTCTGATACCTTGGAGCAGATTAAATAAGTTAGAGATTTAGGCGTAATAGTGGATAGCAAATTAAATTTTAAGTCTCACATTGACGCTATCGTCCAAAAAGCTGGAAGAATGCTTAGCTTCCTAAAACGAAACGCTAAAGGTTTTATGTCAGCCAAAACCAAAATAATTTTATATAACGCCTTGGTTCGAAGTCACCTAGAGTTTGCATCGGTGGTTTGGGGTCCTCAGTTTATCACTTATTCCCAACGCATTGAAAGCATACAGCGTTCATTTACTAGACATCTTGCGTTCCATTCTTCGGGCATTTCCCACCGTAACACCTATAACGTTCGTCTCAAACATTTCGCAATGACGTCAATTTGTAACCGTCGTGTATTGTTGAATATATTGTTTTTAAAAAAAAATAATTTCTGGTGCCGTAGATTGTAATAACCTACTTCAGTGCATTAATCTTAACATCCCATGCAACTATCCACGCCATCCTATTATTAAAATCTTTTACATCCCTGCCAGTAGAACAAACCTCTTAAAAAATTCGCCTATATCAAAAATTTGCGCCGAATACAACCGGGTATGTGTATTTGTTGACATTGACATTTTTCATGACTCAAGCATTAGTTTGAGAAAGAAGTTATCTGTGTACCTGCTCTCTAAGCAGGTTCTTAAAATTTCTTAAAATTTTGTAAAATTATTTTGATAATCTGCGTACTATTTTTGTGTATGTCTCACCTAGAAGTGGCGCAGGCACCGAATTTATTGGTTCACAGCCCGATTTATCAACGGGAGAGTTAGCCTCAGATGTTTCTACAGCCACACAAGTTACATTTCATAGCAAGTGGAAACACACTAGTGACCAAGATATTAAAGAAGATTTAAGCGAAATACGAAAGGGACTGGCAGAAATTATGCATGTTCTAACATAGATTAACACGAATCTCACACAATTAGTTAGAAGCAAGAATATCATAATAACTGGATTAATGGAAACAAAAATATCTGATTATAAAGAAAAAAAAAGCTGAAAGAAATAAGTACTTGGTTTAAGAAAAAAGATCTCCAACGATTGTACAGAATCAAAAAGTATTACACGCCTGGAAAAGTATGTGCCAGACAAACAACGGCTACTCAAAGTGTGTTTCTCAACATCAGAAGAAGGTATGTTTGTATTACGTTCTAAAAGTAATAAAAAACTGAATCCCATTAAAATTTTCCCAAATCAAAGGCCTCAACAACTATCTTTCTACAAAAAACTCAAAGAAGAGTTAAAATATCGTAAGGACAATGGAGAGATGAACCTAACTATCAAATACAATAAAGGTATACCTAAAGTAGTTAAAATTAAGCCAAAATACTAACAAAATTCTATGATAATCAAATCCTAATCTCTAAAACTATTTCTTACCAACTAGCTTCTCATTATGAGATTACCGTAATGACAAGAGACTCTTTAAAATGTCTGTATACCAATGCATGCAGTATGGTTTAATAATATATAGCATGCAATTTTACGAACTAATATGTATTTAAAAATGTCTTAAATTTACGATACACTTAATTTTGATTTCGGAAACTTAGATGAATTGTGAAGAAAAAGCTAAACAATTTCAGATATGTGGAACCCATTACTATAACTTTAGACCTAGTAGCAGAGGAGGTGGAGTCTTTTTTGGAATCTTCGCACACAATATCATGAAACATAATCTTATAGAAGAACAATGTCTTGATAACAATCATTATCTATGGAATCATGTTGACAAGTATTCGCTGGATGTGGGTGTAACCAATAGAAAACCCGAGAACAGCAGTATTAATAAATCTATAGAAACATATTTAACAAAATTAGAATAGCACAGAAGGGCATTGGTATTTGGTGACTACAATGTAGATCTATCATCCCAAGAACGTACAACTTCAATTTATATGAAAATGTTGGAACAGTGTGGCTACAAATTATTCAATAAAATTGACTCCAAATACTTTACCCGTGTAACTCCTTCTTCGAATATATCATATACCATATCAGCGCGAGTCTCAAAGACCATAAATTTCACCTTGCTATAATAGAATCAGCTATGTTTGATGATAAACAGATCTATTTTGAGATCAAGAAATTAAGCAGAATGTGGTGTCAAAATATGAATAAAAATCAAGAAACTACAACAAATTGTATAATACAATAACTGGGAACAGTAATAATCATGAATATGTAAAACTGGAAGAAAAAATATTATCTAGTATAAATAAAAGCAAAGACACTAAGATCAAAGTCGTCAACCTACCAAGAAGAGATTGGATTAATAAAGATATCTTAAACGAAACAAACGCAGGAAACAAATTATGGTATCAATATAAAACTAATCCAGATTGTGAAAATATAAG